ACACACATACAGACACACTAACTGCAAAGACTCCCATTTTGTGCTTCGCACATGGGAGTCAAAAACAAGATGCCTGCCGAATGGAAAATTACCCGTCACGATTTTCGACATACATGATACGGGTCAGGAATTTCACTGCTCAACTAGAGGTCAACCCTGCATGGTTGCATATGAACATTTCTGCTTTCAAATCCTCCTGGAGTGGTGCATTGATTGGTATTATAACATGATCTAAATCTTACTTTAAGCCAATAAGCTTTCCTTTGTTTAGTTCTGACCTCCCATGTTGAGTACACATGTATTAGGTTTCGAGTCCATATTTATTCCATTATTTAATTCATTTTTAACACTTTTGCTACTCTTGATATTGACAGTTTATTCTATTGATTTAGCACTTGAGCCAACTGATAACCAAATTTCAAAACCTGCACAGAATGGCTAAAACTAGAGTTTCATTTCAATTATAAACAAGCAGCCTCTCGGCTGAGATAGCTCCGCTGTTAGCAAGGCACATTTCAATTAAAGAACAGAAGATATTAGAAAATGAATATGTATAGCAATCGGACTTGCCGTTTTCAACAAGAATTCGAAAATATCACTTTTTACCAAAAATATTCACCAAAATTAGAGAATTGAAGATATCATGAAATGAACAAATCTGAGAAAGGTCCACATGTAGTATCTATATATATATATGTAATATCAAAGCAATTGGACTTGCGGTTTTTAACAAGAAGTCGAAAATATCACTTTTTACCAAAAATATTCACCAAAATTAGAGAATTGAAGATATCATCATGAAATGAACAAATCTAAGAGAGGTCTACCCCAGGTACATACACACCAAGTATCAAAGCATTCAGGCTTGTAGTTTTCAAGAAGAAGTCGAAAAAGTATAACATTGACACGGACGACGACGGATAATCACTCTTATGATAAGCTCCGCTCGACAAAGTCGACAGCGGAGCTAAAAAACAAAGTTGTAAGGGACGTCAAAAGATCGTTGTCTGATAAAAAACTTGTTTGCTTTAGTTTGTGGGTGGGGGTGACCTCAAAAAGTTTCCATCCTTACAAAAACGATTTTATTTCTTAATGAAGTCAAAACAATATTGGAGTATTTGTAGTTCGATTTTTTTTTTCTATCTAATCATGGACAAAAATAACAGAAAATGAAAAAAAACATCAAGGACGAGAAAATGGTTTAGTCAGAGTCTGTAAATATGTGCGTCAAATGAGGTCAGTTTCAGGGCATAGGCCTAAAGCATGCGCAGAACCCAGAGAAGTAGTTTGCGCATGCATATATTCCCCTTCATCATTTTCTCTTGAACGGCTAAGGTTTAGTGACTAAAATTGTTTGGCGCTATTCAACCACTACCGTGTTATATTAAAAAAAATGTTATGCAGATGCAATTTGGATTTGTATTAAAAATGAGAAAGGTAATGGCAACATTTACTACACGAGAACGTGTATACAATGTGTAATGACAATTTCATTGTACTACCTACCTTTGTAAACTAAATATACTTCTTAAAAGAGGTTCATATGCTTGTTTTTGGTGCATTTGTAAAGTCTTTTTACACCCACCCGACAACCAACTGCTATGCCATACTACTGTTCGATTATTTAATGGTGAATGTAGTCTGATCAATATAGTGGGGGGGGGGGGAACTAAAGGAATTAAGTTTCTTATTCTACATTGAACTTTTTATGTCCCCCAAGCAGAAATTGTACATGGTTAATAACATTTATTTTGAGGAGTTTATTTCGAGATAACAAGAATATTCAACAATACCAGCCATGACACACTTTGCAAAGACAATCCAATGCATACCACTCAGTCATATTTCTTTTTAATAAAGATGTTTTAATTATATATAATACAACCACTGGAAAACATCAATTCTATGGAAACAATTACATAAACGTTTTTGAAATTTCAACATTAATTTCTCTTAATAAGCATATTACTTGATTTGTTTTTCAAATCTATTGCTAAAAATTTAGAGAAGTGAATGCAGAAACCTTAGCAAGTGAACTGTTCATTTGACAGTGTCCCAATTGAGTGAACAGTTCATTTGGCTGCTGGATAAAGCAGCTCCAAAAAAAACTATATATTAATCAAATTTCCAAGGGGCCAGTGAAATCAAAGATATTCTTCAAAAAAAAAAAATGAGTAAATCAGGTTTAAAAAAGTTCTTACAGAATTTTGTTAAATTTGAATTAATTTGCCAGCACACCCCCCCCCCCCCCCACCAGGCCGGACTTTTAACACAGTATTTACACATTTATATCCAAGTGATAGCCACAACTCTCCACGATGTGCCATAATACTTCCATTTCAGTTGAGTTGAACAATTTGGAAAGAACATAAAGTAAAAATGTTTAAATAACTTGTAATCGAGCAGAAAAATAGCATAAACAATATGATGCAATATTAAAACGATATTACAAAAAAACATTCTCAAGAATTTGAAATAGTTCAGTCATTCAATCATTTCAAATTCATAATCAGCAAGAATTTTCAGAAGCAAATAGTTCAATTCCAAACTTTTCAATAAATACCTAGAGTATTCATAGCAAGGTTAGCTAGCATAGGAGAACTAAATATGCAAATTACACATATTGATTTCAGTTAAACATGCAAATGGCTATTATGGTTTTACTAGCAACATTCTTTAACATAATTTTTTAAGCCAGAAATCATTTGCAAACAAACATACTTTTTTTAACCCAGCTAGTTTCCATAGAAACAAGTCTTCCAAAATTTACAAGTCTCATTTCAAAACAATAATTCGTTGTCCGTCGAACATAGTCTAACACAAAAAATAAGTCGTCAACAATAAATCCAAAAAAAAAATTTTTAATGCTGCAACTCAAGTTCCAACATTTTTTTGATTCCTTGTTCAGTAGTTTTTACTTTTCTGTTTTCGTTCAAATTTCCAGGGATTCAAAGTTGGCAAAAATGCACGAATGGATCGAGTGTACAAGAGTAGGAAAAAATTACTCAAACGCAAGGGATCCCCACATTGGGAGATTTAACCAAAGCGTCATCAAAGGTCCTTCTCAACGTACTCGATGGACAAACAACAAAATTGCCACAGAAAATATTCAAAGACTTGAACAGTTAAATGGCCCATCAATTCTAATCCACATTACCAGTAATGGTCGGTGAAATCATAAATGGATGAACAAAATAAACTATCATTTCAAAGAACATCTCCTTAGCCCGTGAATGCTGGAAATTTTTCAGATATCATGGAGGAAAGAAAATCACAAACTACATATTCTCAGGTTGATTTTCAGAGACACAAACTTCCTTCGGAGCTGATTTGTGCATCGTCATAGTTACCTTAGAGTAGTTCACAACTTTCTTCCCAAATGAAAACTGCAATCTGTTAAAAACTCGTTCTATTTTTTTTTAATGCCACAATCTGTCGAGGTGCAGAAAAACTGTGCTCAGACACGAATTGTCAACAATGGTGTTCTAAACAAGTAGCCCGGAATCAGCAGCCATAGATTCACAAGAGAACTCTCATGTCAGAACAACCATCAATTAGAAGCATTCAATACTGAACACTTTCTAGACTACTTTTTTTTTTTTTTATAAATACAATCATTAAAACAATGAACAAGGAATCATGAAAAAAAAAAAGATACCTATTCTTCTAGTCATCTGACTACAGCTCATTCTTCAACAGCTGGGAACCTCTTGTGAAGGTATTTCAGAACACCTTCTGTCATGATATGCTCGGGATGCTTCATGACTTCTGTGACATGTTCGCTGACGAAAGTGACATGCTTGTCTTCGATGATAAGAATGCGATCAGGCCAAGCAGCATAGCCAAGAGCGAAGGTGTTGTCCATGTTATCACATACAACACGTACTTTCTCCTCATCATTGTGGTCGGTTGTCAGTAGTTCTGGTTTCAAATCCACTAACATTCTGTTAGAGGGGAAAAATGGATGGAATGAGTAAATAAAATGACATGCAAAGTGTTCAATAAATGCATCAATTTTGAACAAAATCCATCCATAGTTCATGGCATGCAATTGGTTTCATGCAATGACTTTATCTGTAAAAATCAACTGACCTGGCTGCCTCAATTCTGTCTTCTAAAGTTTTATGAGAGTTCACAGCTGAAAATTGATCGCCAAAGCTCCAACCATCCTTTGGGTGAGCCTCCTGCAGATAAACGAACACAAACTGAACTCTGTCCTGGAATTCTTCAAACATGCTGAAGAGAGGACCACCTTCGATGATGGTCTGCAATGCAAATAAGAAACTTGATTATTTAATGGACAGACAATAAAATACAGTTAACTGATAGCAATACTTCTATTTCATTTCAAATTAATTTAATAAGCGATTAAAATGTTTTTAACATTCATATCTGAGCAAAGATAGTGCTGTATATTCATGGATCATTTAGTCCCCCCCCCATGTAGTGAAGATATTGTCCTTGTATGCATACATGAATTGAATGTTGTAAAATAACTTCATCAATGTACTATGTGAAAACAGTTATTAAATTGAATTATCAAATGTATATTCTGCCATTTTTTACAAATTGTCTCTAGAGAATACAAAACCTGGGACAACTGCTTCATTTCTGGTTGGAAACAGTTACAAAACCTGGGACAACTGCTTCATTTCTGGTTGGGAACAGTTACAAAACCTGGGACAACTGCTTCATTTCTGGTTGGGAACAGTTACAAAACCTGGGACAACTGCTTCATTTCTGGTTGGGAACAGTTACAAAACCTGGGACAACTGCTTCATTTCTGGTTGGGAACAGTTACAAAACCTGGGACAACTGCTTCATTTCTGGTTGGGAACAGTTACAAAACCTGGGACAACTGCTTCATTTCTGGTTGGGAACAGTTACAAAACCTGGGACAACTGCTTCATTTCTGGTTGGGAACAGTTACAAAACCTGGGACAACTGCTTCATTTCTGGTTGGGAACAGTTACAAAACCTGGGACAAATGCTTCATTTCTGGTTGGGAACAGTTACAAAACCTGGGACAAATGCTTCATTTCTGGTTGGGAACAGTTACAAAACCTGGGACAACTGCTTCATTTCTGGTTGGGAACAGTTACAAAACCTGGGACAACTGCTTCATTTCTGGTTGGGAACAGTTACAAAACCTGGGACAACTGCTTCATTTCTGGTTGGGAACAGTTACAAAACCTGGGACAACTGTTTCATTTCTGGTTGGGAACATACATCACCAAAGCCAGACAATAGTGGGCAAGAATGAAATACAAGTAGCGTTCTGGCTGACAGATTTACGTACCCTCATTATGGGTCAGCTTTGCGATGAAGCAATTAGTATCAGTGGCTTATCTTTATGGGAGTGGATGTCTGAGACAAGAATGTGTTCTTTGTCTTCAATACCCATCAATTCTACATCGGGTCGAGCATCACCAACATCTATATGAGCTTTGAGTAAATGTGCAACACCCTTTCCAACAAAGTCAAAACATTTCATCACCTGTAAAGAATCAGGTTAATAACATTACTTCTACATTTTAACATTACTACTTGTCACCTACAAAATAAACTTGCATAATTTGCATCTAATCCAAATTTTGAAATGACTAACAATTCAGCCATAAAATTAAGTTGTTCAAGCAATATTGGATATGTTTAAAGTAGTTAATTCATTAAATTTACATAATTTTTAAATAAAGAAGGAAATAGATTACATACCTCTGAATCTCCTTTGTAAACTGGTACAATAAATGCAAAGAAGGGCACTCTTCCTTGCATAATATCTGCACACACACCATGTTCTTCCAAGACTTTTCGTTCTGCTTTCCGGCAAATATCAAACATCTCCATATGGTATTTCTTTTTATTAACATGTGCAACTTTATGATCAAATTCTTCAAAGAGTTCTTTGGACAACAACACTTCTCTCATACGCTTGGAGACCTTTAATACTAAATCACGATTGCCAAGGAACTTCTCTGCAGATAGACCTTTATGAAAATAAATGAAATTCCAATTTTAGTACACTTCAACAGCCTCAAACCAAATCTCGCCATTTGCAACAAGATTAAAGAGGGAAAAAAAATGATTTCAAAGTTCTATGTCATCTGCGTTTATCACTTTGATGTACTAATGTGAATGTTTCAAACTACAGGGAAATCAAATCTGCAGACTGAAGGTAAAAACTGTACATCTCCTAACTTAAATTTACTAATTTAGTGGACTGTGAAAGTTGCAGTAAGAAATCAAAACAAGTATTAATAATTATACTGTAGAAGGGTTAATTATTCACTGGGTTTTAATTTTGCTTAATTCACTGACTGGAAAATGAGCTAATTAAAACCCATTGAATATGTAAAATTGAGCATAGAACACATTATCTAAATGATAAAAAACCCACTGAATATGCTCGAAAATCTAATTCAGTGAAATTTAAACCCAGTGAAAATTAGTCATTTTAATATATAATTTACACACCAAGATTAACAAAATACTGTGGACAAGTTTAAAAGAATTCAATTTTCTTGACACATAGGGAAACCGAAAAGGATGAAAACACAAATTTGTGATTGTGTCAGACAATGAATGCCGTATAAAACCTGTCCACAGTATTAGAAGCAAAAAGATGTACACTAACAAAGTTTCACAGATACAAGTGACAGCAGGTCAGATCAGATCAGATCAGAGAGGGTACACCCAGAATAGAATTATGATAGGAAAAGGAAATTGAGAAAACAGAAAAAATTTTAATTGTGGAAAAATACATAGTAGAAAATCTAGAGTCCAGAGAAGGTTAGTTTTGTAGATATAGGGGTTACCTTGGGTTTTTACATTGAGGGAGGATTCTACCCCATTGGAATGGCCGTTCACTTGCTGTTCTACTTTCAGTTTTTTATTAACTGATTCATTGTCATTCAAGGCAAGTGTGTTACCATTACTCTTCTTTTTCAAGTCCTTTATGATGCTGAACTCTTCTCCATTTGGAGTATTGGTTACCTCATCTTCGTGCACCCTCTTACGGGAAGTCATCGTGTCCTGCATGATGAAAAACATCGTTTTTAGCTGAATGTAGTATACTACAAGAATTTCCTTTTTTTTTAACAATGTAAATTACTTTGTCTAGTGTTATCTGTCAACGATTCCAATATCCATGTTTTTACAAGACTCATCCTAGCTGTATTTTTTTAGCCATAAATAATGACAAATGGAAGTCATAAAGCAAAGACTTTCTCAATGTCAAAAATAAATCAAAAATCAGGTTTATTGGGGTTGGTAAAACATCACAACAAATGCACTTGTATAATAAAGTTGTCTACAGTATGTTATCGATCACACCACGGCCAATGTCAGATTTGGAAAAAATTAAATGAGACTATTGTTGAAAAATCAAACTTTACTACTGAGTAAAACATCAATGAAATAAAAACATCATTTTTTTTGTCCATTATAATAGTAAAACTGAAAGTAGTAGTGTAAGCACTTTGTGAAAAATGGCACAAATGTAAAAAAAAATACACCAAAAATAAATTAATTATTTACTAATTAATGGGCAAATTAGCTACTCCTGTGACCAAAATACTGGGTGAAGCATCATTTCTTAGCAAAGGCTATGACGAATGGGTGCATTTACCAAACGTCTTGCTATGTGTAGTATGGGAACCAATAACATATGCACATGACACAACTACCATCCATTTTAAAAAAGCATGGGATGTTAATATATCATGAAGAATTTTAAAAAAGCATGGGATGTTAATATATCATGAAGAATTTTAAACAAGTCATTGTCAATGACACGTCCCCGTTCCGTTCATATTTGAGTGACATATACATTCAAAGCAGATCATGACCGAAATGCACCTGCATATGTACAACACATTGTGCTAAATCTGAACAAAATCCATCCATGCATGACTGAGATCCGGTTCTGGAATTGTGAAAATAT